CAATACTGTTTGGTTGTAATTAATGGATTTAGACCATGGAGGTGCATTTTGCTTTTGGTTGGGCAAGACTGCCTAGTGCCTGTGTTCAATTTGGAGGAGTTTGAGTGTTCTTTGTTATAAAAGAGAAGGTGGGTACTGTAAAAAAGTAGTTCACCTAATCTTCCCCTCATCAGATCAGTACTACCATGGGGTTTGGTTATGAGTGACATAAATGATGGCTAAACAATTCAAGCTGCTGAGGTTGGAGAAATCTTGTGTTAGAATTTCACATGCCATTCTGAACCTAAATAAGTACTGTGGATTGTTGGCTTTGTGACAGGTTCTTTGTCATTTTTTACAAATTGTTTTGACTCCTTGAGGTCAATTGGGAACAGTTGAGGAAATATAGGAAAATAAAGCAAATACCTATGTGGTGGGGGTGGGGAGCCAGGGGATAAAATGCATGGTATGGGCAGGCTGCTAAAATGCATGTTAGCAGTCAAGCACTCCAGCCAGATGAGTAATAAGCTCCATTCAATGGAGAGATACTAGGGCCTCTGTGAGTCAAGTGTGCATGTGGGTGCTGGAGCAGTTAGGCCTGTGGGCTGATTGTCTAGCAAGAAGCTCAGACTTGTAAACAACTGGAAATAGGTACAGAGCAAGCTGGCATTGAAACAGTACAAGTGCAGGGACTCAGAAATGGGAAGCTAGTTTTTCCTGGGGTTCCAAATATTACTCTCCCCTTTGTTTCCTTTCTGGGGTCTATTGGAATAGAAACTACAGATTAGTTTCAATTGATAATTTACTTAGAATTCTAAAACACTTATGTGGTCTTAAAATCTGCCCTTAAGAATTCTCTGTTGCTTTGCATTAAGCCTCCAGTTCCTTTAATATATATTGTGGAGGAGGCAGAAGGGGATATCTGTCTTCATAGGCGGTCCCTTATCTAGGTGAGCACTGTTGAAACCCAGAGGAAGTATCCTGTCCCACCAATGAAAGTGATTTTGCAAAGTTTAGGCAGATGCCACCATCAGAAACCAATGTTTTCCACGGTTATTTCCATTCTACTCTAGAGCATTTGGTCCACCATGACCAGCCAAACCAAGAGAGGAAATTACTGACATTGATCTGTCCCTTGGAGTAGTATTTCTTGCTTTTTTGATGTTAAAGCACACACCAAAAAATGCATTTTACATTACAACCTTAAGGCACATATACATAAAACTCAAAGTTTCATAAAATGATACTTATACTTACTACTTTCAGTGTACTATGCCATTCTCTATTTTGTTCTTTCTTTTTCTTTTTTCTTTCTTAAATATTGGTTGTGACTTCTTTTTAAATTTTTAATGTTTTCTTTTTAAAAATTTTGAAATGTTTATTTATTTTTAAGAGAGAGAGAACATGAGTAGGGGAGGGGCAGAGAGAGAGATGGAGACACAGAATCTGAAGCAGGCTCCACGCTCTGAGCTGTCAGCACAGAGCCCATTGCAGGGCTCAAACTCACAAACTGCGAGATCATGAGTTGAAACGAAGTTAGACGCTCAACCGACTGAGCCACCCAGGCACCCCTTAGTTGTGACTTCCTAATGTTTATTTATTTTTGAGACACAGAGACAGAGACAGAGAAAGAACAAGGGAGGGGCAGAGAGAAAGGGAGACACAGAATCTGAAGTAGGCTCCAGACTCAGAGCTGTCAGTATAGAGGCTGATGCAGGGCTTGAACCCCTGAACAGCGAGATTATGACCTGAGCTGAAGTTGGAGGCTTAACAGACTGAGCCTCCCAGGCACCCCAGTTGTGACTTCTTGAGTGGCACCAACAAGTTTTAAAATCTGTGCCCTAGGGTATAAAACGATTATCTCTGGACAAAGTCTCAGGGAGGGTTGGCTCTGATCTCCCATTTCCTTGGACTTTTGCATGCCTGGCCTTTGCTGTTATCACCTCTCCATGGAGTAACCTTGGGAGATAGGTAATACAGCTGGATGCAAAAGGCCTGAAGTTGGCAAGGTTAGGCCAGTAGGGCAGAGTGTTCTTTGTGCTGCAGTTGGTTTCATTTCAGGGCTAAAGAGCAGGGCACTTGAGACTAAGACCTTTGGGCACAAAAGCAGGGCCTTTTCCCTGGGGCCTGTGATGTGGTCTCAGCTACACAGCAAGCCTGGACTGAGCAGGGCCTATGTGATCTTTTCCTTGTCGGTTGGCTGAAAGCTCAGGAGACTGGTATGTCACCCCTGAGGGGAGAGCCTACTTCTTCAGGCAAAGGATATGTCTTACTTCTGGAAAAACACAAGGGACAGAGTCCTCGAGGAAGGGCGGTGCTGTCTCCTAGTTGTAGAACAGGGAAGACATGTGACTGACTGGGCCTCCTGACCCTAGTTCTTCCCAAGGGACCAGCTGTTTAAGTGAAAGTGGCTCCGCCCCCACCGCGGTTCTTAGCACCGACATTCAGAGAATGCCGCCTAGGTGTCAGGCACTGACCTGGATGCTGAGGCTAGGGTATCTACAACATCGTGCCTTACATCCTGGAATTCACAGTGTAAATGGGAGAGGCAGTTAAATAAAAAGTCAGCCCAGGAAGATGGGTACATGAATTGTTGTGGTAAAACAGATAAGAAAAATCTTTGGTGGGAGGAGGGAGTGACCTCAATTCAGGTTTCCCAGAGAAGGTTGCCTGCAGAGATTGGTGAGCACTAGTACACTTCTTATGAGCCTTATTAGCAAGGGAGCAGAGCTTGCCAGGCCACAGGACTGCTGGTAAAAAGGCTGCCATGGATGAAACAGCAAGCATGGCTGAGCTTTCAGCCAGTACTTTGGTACTGACAACTAGTAGAGAGCATCTGAAAGGACTTAACTACTCTAAAGGATTTATTGGTATCAGTACTGTAACCCTTTTGGTTTGGCTGGTCATGGTGGATGGAATGTTCTAGAGTAGAATGGAAAAGAGTTAGATCTGAGTTTTAGGAAGGTCATTCTGTAGGGTAGAGAATGGGTAGGTCAGGAATCATCTTGGCTGCTGCACTAGTCTGGGTGAGAAGTGATGATGACATGAAGGGGTGAAGAGAGATTCAAAAAAGCTATTCACAGGATTAAAGAACTGGATATGGAATAGAGGAAAAGGAAGACTTTCAGATTTCTGGCATAGTTGCATGAAGTGCAGTCAGACACAGAGAAAGACAAAATGGAAACGGCAGATTTTAGGGGAGAAGACAGAAGAATGGGTTAGAAATGGCATGTGGGTACCCTTGTGTGCCAGGTAATTATCTGCCTACCTCCCTCTATCTGTGTATCTATGGATATTCCCATTTAACTTGTGTAAAGACTCTGAACTAAATAGTGTATTCCAGTTTTTCAGATTTCTGGGTTAGATACATGACACAGGAAAATAAAAGACATGGTGTTCAAATTGCTTGATGACAAAGACAGGGCTTTTTGGCTATAATCCTGTGGCTTCCCGGTTTGAATATGTTAAATTTGAGGCATTTCCAAATGAAAAAGAACAACAAAAAAAAAGATGACTGTATAGATTTGGGGCTCACAAAGTCATTCGGTCAGTGAGAATTTGGACTATACTTTTGAAAAACATATCTTGACTCCTTGATTACAAAACTTGATAAACAAAACAAACAAACACCTTACTCTTGGGGTGCCTGGGTGGCTCAGCTAGTTAAGCATCCAATTCTTGATTTCAGCTCAGGTCATGATCTCATAGACTTGAGATTAAGCCCCATGTCTGGTTGTGTGCTGACAGCACAGGGCCTACTTGGGATTCTCTCTCTCCCTGTCTCTTTGCCCCTCCCCCTGCTCAATCCCTCTCAAAATAAAAATAAAAAAGAATTAAATTAAAAAAAAAATCTTACTCTCAGTTCTGCCTTGTCTGAGGTAGGCTTTAATGAATTTTAACTATTATGAACTTTGTTTTCATCATCCATCTATTTTGCCTTGAACTATATACAGGCATGCCTTGGAGACTGCAAGTTTGGTTCTAGACTACCACAGTAAGACAAATATCATGATAAAGCAAATCAGATTAAGTTTTTGGTTTCTCAGTGCATATAAAATTTATGTTTACACTATACTGTAATTTATTAAGTGTGTAATAACATTGTCTAAAAAATGTACTTACCTTAATTAAAAAATACTTTATTGCTAAAAAATGCTTGCCATCATTTCAGCTTTCGCTGAGTCACAATCAACTGATTACAGATCGCCATTACAAATATAGTAATGAAAAAGTTTGAAATATTACAAGAATGACCAAAATAGGATACACAGAGACATGAGGAGAGCAAATGCTATTGGGCAAATGGTAATGCTTGCTTGACGCAGGGTTGCTACAAAACTTCAACTTGTAAAAAATGCAGTATTTGCAAAGTACAATAAAATGAAGCACAATAAAACAAGGTGTGCCTGCAGCTACTTTCATCCTGACTGTACTACAAATCAATATGCAAACCAATGGACACACCCGTTTGGGATTTTGAACTTTAAGTATATAGGAGGATGATAGTCATTTGGGAGACTTTTTATTTTTTAAGATTGAGAAAAGGGTCTCCATATTCTTTTTTTTTTTTTTAACATTTTTATTTATTATTGACAGAGAGAGACAGAGCATGAGCATGGGAGGGGCAGAGAGAGGGGGAGACACAGAATCTGAACCAGGCTCCAGGCTCTGAGCTGTCAGCAGAGAGCCCGCAGGGCTCGAACTCACAGACCGCCAGATCATGACCTGAGCCGAAGTTGGACACTTAACTGACTGAGCCACCCAGGAGCCCCAACGGTCTACAGATTCTGAATGAGAGGACAGTTGAGAGTGGTTCTCTCTCTTTCCCTGTAAACCTCTCCTGCCCCCCCCCACCAAAAATAAATACCCATATGTCTCTTCTAAATCCTAGCTGCCTCCTCACCTTTTGTCCATATGAGGCAGGTAACATTTCATTTTTAAGGAACAAAAAGTAGTCTCTTTCTTTTTGGTAACTCTGTAGCCCATTCACTTGTCATCTTTTCTCTTCCTGACTCTGATAGGTCCCGGTTCACTTCCACAAAAAGAAGTACATGGAATGGCCACATGAGGCCAGTCACCTAACTTAATGAAGGATGCCAGTGAGGAAAAATGTTGATATGCCAGTGTCCTCATTCTACAGTGTGTTCCATTCTTTTGCAATCTCAGAAAAAAATGGCACTAAAAGAAAGTATTGTATGAAACAAGAAGTTCCTGCTTTTTAAATGACGAATATGTATTAAGATGGACATCTGCTCTACAAGATACAAAGATACCATTCCTAAATAAAAACAGACCTGAATGAACGTCAGAATGTTTGTTAGTGGCAGAAGAGTAAAAAAATGGCAGTTTGTTCAGTTATTTGCCACTTGTTTTATACTAAGCCTCATGTTTTTTTGGGGACCAATTGATAATCACATTGTGAGCCATATGAAGTCCTACTCTTACAGATACCTCATAAATAGCTATGACTTTGTGAATGACAGCCTGTCTCTTAAACACAGGACAGATGAGGCTACTCATTACCAGTACTTGATTAACCATAAGGAGAAGTGTCAAGCACAAGACATCCTCCTTTTACTGTTTGTAAAGACTGCTCCTGAAAACTATGATCGACGTTCTGCAATTAGAAAAACATGGGGCAATGAGAAGTATGTTCGGTCTCAACTTAATGCCAACATTAAAACTCTGTTTGCTTTAGGAACACCTTCTAACCCACTGACAAGGAGAGAACTGCAAAGAAAACTGGTTTGGGAAGATCAAATGTACAGTGATATAATTCAGCAAGACTTTGCTGATTCGTTCTATAACCTTACTATTAAATTACTTATGCAGTTCAGTTGGGCAAATAGCTTTTGTCCACATGCCAAATTCCTTATGACTGCTGATGATGACATATTTATTCATATGCCAAATCTTATCGAATACCTTCAAAGTTTAGAAAAAATTGGTGTTCAGGACTTTTGGATTGGTCGGGTTCACCGTGGTGCTCCTCCCATTAGAGACAAACGCAGCAAGTACTACGTCCCCTATGAAATGTACCAGTGGCCGGCTTACCCTGACTAAACTGCTGGAGCTGCTTATGTGATTTCCGGTGATGTAGCCGCCAAAGTCCATGAGGCATCACAGACACTTAAGTCCAGTCTTTACATAGACGATGTGTTCATGGGCATCTGTGCCAATAAAATGGGGATCGTACCACAACACCATGTGTTTTTTTCTGGAGAAGGGAAGACTCCTTATCATCCCTGCATCTACGATAAAATGATGACATCTCATGGACATGTTCAAGACCTGCAGGACCTTTGGAAGGATGCCACAGACCCTAAAGTAAAAATGCTTTCGAAAGGTTTTTTTGGTCAAATATATTGCAGGATAATTAAGATAGTTCTCCTTTGCAAACTGACCTATGTGGACACGTACCCTTGCAGGGCTGCCTTTGTCTAACAGTACTTGAATGTTGTGTGTTTTCACTGTCACTGAGCCAAACCTGGATGAAAAACCTTTAGATATTTGTCGATACCTTAGGTGAAATGAATATGAAAAAAAAAAAAAAACAGAAATATTTTGGAAATCCAGTCTATCAGAATGTTTCTTTGATTCTAGAAGCTATTCAGTAGAACTTATCTACGTCATTGCCTAAATTCATTTCAAGGAATTTATATTTAGAAAAGGTTTATGAAAACAAAACTAAAGGGAAATTCAAGTTCTCACTCGCCACGTGTATATTCGAGGTGTAGAGAAGTTACTAAGGTGCCTTGGTGTTAGAATAACTGCTTTTGGAAAATACCAAGTGAATGTATAGTACATTTCAAAGAAATGAATATATTGTTGGACCAAGTTTACAAGTTAGTTTTTATTACTGAGCACTTGACTGGGGGGAGATGGAGACAGGGGAAGATTGGCATAGGAGAACCTGGTACTTGAACCTGGTAAAAGAAAGTTTCTGTTCCTCAGAGGAGATTTAGAAAAATGTACACGGCTTTATAAACAGCCAAGTCACTTATTGTCACATCCATGTAGCTAATTTACCTAAATAGTGTTAGAGTCATTTAAAATATATTTATATTTTTCTTTCAAAGTTTAATGTGAAATTTGAGAAGTTATGTGCTCTGCTCTAACTGGTACTTCATGTGGCTTTTTTGATTATTAGAAATCACACAAATCATGGGCACTTGTTACCCACAGGGTCCTTCTCTAGGGAGAAATCATTGTTAATTCAAATAAGCCAATTTTAATTTGATGAATTTTTCAGCTGGTTTTTAAATATTAAATATCAGCCTGTTTTAAAGGTAGTTATTTGAAAGTAGTTTGCACAGAGGAATACAATAATGGAGAAGACTTCAAAAAGAAAGAACATTAAAAGCCTCGTTTTCCCCTTTTCTATAATTTATAAAATAAAATTTTTTGTGTGTAAATTATTGTAAGGATGACTAAGATTAGCCTATCCTTCCCTAAGAAGGTCTCATAAACCACAGTACTTTGTTTCAAGTTCAGATTTTACAACTGAGAGTATTCAACATCAGATCAAAGCTATCCTATCTTAAAAAAAATCAATCCTCTCATCAAAATAACTAGCAGTTGTCAACTTGGAAATATTTCAAATGTGAAAGCAGAATGAAAGTGATAGGTCACTGGAATGAGGTTTAAGATATTGGGAAGCTGCAGGATCTTCATATTCAAAGACAGGTGGCTGAGATGTAAAAGAGTTAGTTGCATTTATTTTACAGAGCAGGATAAAAATGTGGCCAGGATGTGACCACCTCCCCTCCCTACAGAAAGAACTAGATGGTGTCTATTGTCACAGGGATAGTAAGAAGGCCAAAACAGTGACTCCAGCAAAAGCAGTTGAACTGATTATGCAACCCCTCTCTGCAGAGGTGTCTGTACGAGAAAATTAAGACGTCTGATTTCATTCGATGATGTTTGAAATACGCAGAAGACAAAGCTAAAAGAATTCTTGGTAAACACAACTGGATGATGACATATACTGTAATGTTTTACAGACAGCTTTTTAATGTTTACAGAAACCTTTTTGTTATTTTTTTTTTCTATTTTGAAAATTGAGGCTTGTTTACATTGATCGCTCAGATAATTTAAAATTTTTACTCCTGTCAAAACTACAGTGTTGACCATTCTAGGTTTGTAGGACTTTCAGAGTTGGGTCAGTATTTTAGATCATTATGGTTTAAATTTTCTGACCAATTTTAAAACCTGTAGATAACAGAAGCACATTTTGACAAAGCCGTTTTATAATTAATTTTTATTAGTTGATTCCTTAATAACCATTTGCCTTTGGGCCATACATACCTTGTGTATCTGTAATTGTCAGCATTTAAATTTTCCATTGATTGAAAACATAAGTGTCTCTCTAGCCATTGAAATGATCTTGTTTACAGGAATACTTTTGTGAAACAATTATTTATTTGCAAAAGAGCTCTCCTCGACTGTTTTCATCTTTTGCTTAGAATAGAATGGAATAGATTTAAATCTAAAGGAAATATGAAGGCACTTCCTTTTTTAAGAAGAAGGAAATTGCTAGATGCTTCCTTCATTAGACTTAAAGTACTGAGAAGAATATTTGTAAAGAAAAGGATTCCAGCCTTTTAAAAAAGAAGGAAAAAACTTTCTGGTGCTCTAATGCAAGGCTGTCTCAAAAATCGTCAACAAAGGGAAAATAAACTATCAGCCTGGACGGTCACTTGGGTAGACGATGGTCGATGGTTGTACACAGTGTTATTGCTAAAAACCTTTTACCTCTTGGTTGGTTTGCATCTTTTTTCCATATTATTAATTTTATACCAGTATGTTAAATATTTATATTATTTGAATTTTGCTCTTACATGGCAAAAGTAATTAGTGAGTTTTTAAAAGTAAATCTGTGATTTCCAATAAACAACTTGAAAATTGTCGGCAGATGTGTATTTTCACAAACTTTTTAAACTCCTTTGTGAACACCATTTGTTTGTATAATCACCTTGTTCTGTTTAATGTCAGAGAGGCCTGTGGTACACAACCTTAATCCTGCTGCTGTTCAGACTTGCTGCTGTGCCCATGATAAAGGATTATCGCGTCCTCTGCTATGGATACCTAAATGCTTCTTTTGTCTGTTAAATGAATTATGATGGAATGTCTTAAGTTGGGGGAATTCTTCTGTTCTAATAGATTGTTCAGGAAGAATGAAATAAGAAACTGTAGCCATGGTGCCACAAGACATCATTGGCAAGGGTCATATTTTCCTTTTATTTGATATCATGAGGTGTCAGAAAGTAGAATCAAACTTAGCTCTGGTCTGTTAAGGCCACGAATCTTCTTAGACTTGCTTCTGTCTGAGTACTGCTTCAGTATATTTGTACATAGTGTGTTCTCATCTGCTTTTCACCTGATTCCTAGTGAATTCTAAGATATGGTGTGATTCAATCTATGTATGTTTTTAAAACTTGGAAGCATCTGAATTTTTTGGTTGTAGATATTCTTTTGCTCCAGACCTCAAAGGTTCCTGACTGTCACTAGCATCAAATTTAATCTCTTCGACCTGGTTTCTACTGCCTTATGTAATCTTCCTTTCCTTCTTTATTCTCCGTAGCTTTATTTTTCCCACCGCTACTATCATCAATCACAAATCTCACTCATGACCATACATTGTGTAAGTTGGTTTCCCTTACCAGAAATTTCTCCTATTCCTGTTGAGATCTTGAAAATCCAACCCTAACTGTGCTCTTCAATTGAGCATCTCTCCCTGCCCTCCTCCCAAAATATATACTTAATCACATATATAATTGTGCTACCTACTAATTGTTTCATATGTTTTTTTTTTCCTTAGCTAAAACAGAAGTTCTGAAGGTAGGGAGTGCACAGTACTATCACATTGTACTTAAAATCATTATGTATTTTTCATCATAATAAAGTAATATTTTTATGGCAAGTCATTCCAAATAGGAAAAGAAATTAATTATTCAGAGTCCTTTATGATGGACACTATCTGGTATAACATGTTACCTATACTCTGTAAAAGTTTATAATTCATTCAACAAAATCTGAGTGCTTACCTATCATCTAACCCCAACAAATTTGTAAGAGTTATGCATAAAAACTCAAATCTACAAAACAAAAATGAATAAGGAAATATGGAGAAATTAAGTTGTTTCAGCAAAGAGTAGTGATCTTAAAGTATTTATAAAATACTGGTAGTAGAGCAAAAACATTAGTGTAGTATCAGACTCCCCTATCACCCTGCTTAATCCACTAGCTAATTTTTCATTTTCTCAAAGTTCTTTTGCAAGAATCACAAAGATATTTTTGTTTCATTAAATGCTGTAACGTTTTCCCTTTATATTACTCATTAGAAGTATGATTTAATGGTCTACTGTAAATTAATATAAGAATTCACCCATTAACTTAAAGGACCCATTTAACTAAGAGTAAAATTATGATTTTTAGAAAAGGAAATTAGAATTATAAAAGTAGGCATGAGTTGTAGTAATAGAAAGGTCCCAAAAGATTTACTGTCACTTAAGGACAATAGAACACATTGCCAAGTGGTGCTTTTCAGAGACCACTCAACTAAAGATACTTTCAGATATGCTGACATGGGCCATTTACTATAACTCAGAGAGAACATTTTAATCAGTAAAAGCCCACATGTTTCCTTGAGTACACCTTAATATGAAAGAGTATAAAGTAGTCTAATTAACAAATATGGGCTTTAATCAAGCAGCAAGTTCCTAAATACATTGGTCCATTTATTCTACAGGGATATTTTGGAGATCTGCTAAGAACTAAGCATTATGATAGTCCCTAGGGATAAAAGTGATTCATAAGTCAGTAAGTCAAATGGCATGGATATAAACAATGTAATGATTGCTAAATGATTGCTAAAATGATTGCTAATGATGGGGACTTTGAGTATAAAGAATATATTTTTTTAATGTTTTTTTTTTTTATTTCTGAGAGAGAGAGAGACACAGAATCAGAAGCAGGCTCCAGGCCCTGAGCTGTCAGCACAGAGCCCAACGTAGGGCTCGAACCCATGAACCATGAAATCATGACCTGAGCCAAAGTCGGACCCTCAACCAACTGAGCCATCCAGGCATCCCTAAAGAATATTTTTTAATGAATTTCTCCTTATGTTTTTGGTCTTTACCACCCTAATTTAGGCTTTCTGAACTGTTGAGTATTTACATGCATATGAACACCTTCCTGTAGTTCAAACATAGCACTACATTTGCATAAATTGTCTGTTTGGGGAACCTATTGCCTTTAAATGCTTTTAAGCCAATAATTCAATCAGTACGAACGTTAGTTTGCATTTACTATTTTCGTGATAATTCATTTTTTAAAATATTGAGTATCCTTGGACTTGATGTATATCATTTTCAGCTCTTGCTTGTTCCTTTTATGAGATCCATGGGTTTATTCTCAGGTATATAAATGAAGGTTAGTATATAGAAAAATAGATGTGATTTTATCTGGGGAAAAATTAGTGATGAGATTTAAAACAGAAGGTAACTTCCCTCCTTCCTTACCACATCGAGATTCAAATGACTCCGACCAGGGATCTGAAATCTTACCTGGGGTGGGAAAGATTTGCAGTACTGTCAAGCTTCTCTGGCTCTTGGTTCTCCCCATTGTGACTGCTTTCCAGTATTTCTTCATTCTAAAGTAAAAGAAATTTCTGTAAGATAACCTGTCTTATTTGGAGGCTCTATATTTTTCTTTCCCCCTTTTATTTGTCATGTTTGTTTTTGTCTTTAGTTTTCTAGATGGACACCATGTCCAGTCTCTCATCTTTTTCTTTCTTGGGTTTTCTTCCAGCTCCTTTGTGTATCTCTTACAGTTTGCCCTTCAGGCTTCCTTTAGAAACATCAAAAATATCTTTCTTTTTTTAACATATATTAAAATTTTTTTAATGTTTATTTATTTTTGGGAGAGAGAGAGACAGAGTACAAATGTGGGAGGGGCAGAGAGAGAAGGAGACAGGATCTGAAGCAGGCTCCAGGCTCTGAGCTGTCAGTACAGAGCCTGACGTGGGGCTCAAACTCACAGACTGTGAGATCATGACCTGAGCTGAAGTTGGACGCTTAACCAGCTGAACCACCCAGGTGCCCCAAAACTATCTTTCTTTCTCAAAAGCAAGTATCCTTTTTCCTTAATAATGCATGGTTATTAATATTGTACTCCTTCCCCTCCCCAGTTGACTCAAAATAAAGATTCAGAGTTTGAGCTACAGGCAACAGTAAAGAGATCATTTTCCTCAATATCTCCATTTATTTCCCCCTTTGGGGGTATGAAGTCAAGATCTGTTTGGAGAAGCGGTGACGTACCCAAGAACAGAAAGTGAGCTAAAGGCAGAGATGAGGTTAGCCCAGAGTCCACTTTTCACAGGCTGGTAATCACAGGTCCATTCTATCACAGTGCGTCATAAAGCAGCGGGTTCCTCAGGTGTGCACATTGGTCACCTGGCTCCAAGCCAGCTGGTCAGAAACCTGCCAGTTCTGAGACCCTGGACAAGTTCACTGAACCTCTCTGGCTTGATTTCCTCCCCCACAGCGTGGACCGCATGGCACTATCCACAGCAGAGGACTGTGGCTCTTTTTTAGAATAATATTAGGCATTCTCAAAAAGAGGCGAAACTGCTTATTTTACTCTCAAGAAAATTCCATTTTAACAAGGAAGCAAATCTGTAAAATGCTGATAGCAACCAGTGTCTCTTAAAGGTATTGACTAATAACAAACAAGTAGATAATTAGCCAGCATTTGAATTCTTCCCACTTGCCAGGTTCTGTTTAAATGAGTTATTTTACATTGTCACAAAAGGGAAAGATTTTGAAAGGGCCCTCTTGCAAAAGTATTGTTCAAGGAAATTTAATGAGTAAACATAAAGATTCTATGTAAATTAGAGCTGGAAGTTGGAGGATCAGTTCCCCGCCCCTGCCCCCCTCCCCCCCAATGAGGGACAGAGGAGAAGTCTTACAAACAAGTGAGACTGATAGGCGCTCAGCTAGTTGTTGACCATGCAAGAAGAGAGGTCTTTCTCTGGATTAACAGAAAGAGTCAAGGTGGGCTTTTTTTTTTTAATTCACAATGCCAACCACACAAACAGAAATTCAAAAATGTTCAATAAATGAAGGAAAAGCATGGATCTTTGATCTTTTTCATAGATGTCCTCCCAAATCTGGCATTTCCAGAAAGCAAGCTAAAAAATAAAGGACTATTTGGGACACCAGTTTTGCATTCAGCTCTAAAATACAAGGGCAATCTTAAATTCCAAGTTCATATTTTGTTTTTTTTTTAAGTTATTTATTTGAGAAAGAGAGAGAGAGAACAGGGGAGGGACAGAAAGAGAGAGAGAGGGAGAGAGAGAATCCCAAGCAGACTCCACTCTGACAGCTGTGCTGACAGTTCAGAGCCCTAAAGCCTGCTTTGGATTCTGTTTCCCTCTCTCTCTCTGCTCCCTCCCCCACTTGCACTCTGTCTCTCTCTCTCTCTTTCTCTCAAAAATAAATAAACATTAAAAAATAAAAAAAATAAAATAGAATCTTCTGTTAAAATAGGATATCATTTCACTAAGAATCTAAATTTTTAGTTCCCTCTATTCCAGATATTTGACCAGATATTAGTATATATTTCTCATTTCAGTCAATATATAGAAGTGAGTACCAGTCCCTGGATTCAAACCAATCTGCTTATTTTTGCCACACTACCAAAGCTCTTTGTTCACATTTTCTATATAATGTTAAATGATGATGGTTAATGTTACATTGCATCCTTTTTTTTCTTCCTCTGTTGTGGCCTTACTGTGCCTGTACCACCTGCTGGACTTTGAGCCCTGGCTTTATTTGTCTTTGGATCCTCAACATGTAATATAGGACCTTCATAAAAAGTAACCAGTATTACTAACAGAACTTCCT